AAACGACGTGATGGATGACAGGCGCTGATCATGGACCTAAGAATCTCTGGACCGAGCATGCGGCGAGGGGGCTGGCAAATTTGCGGTAAGGGGGGCGAGAGTGCTCTCCTTTTCTGTCCTCTTGGACCTCTCTTTCTACAAGAGGTCACAGTGACCTCTTGTAGAAAGAGATACCATGAGATACCAAGAGGACAGAAAAGGAGAGCACTCTCGCCCCCCCCTTACCGCAAATTTGCCAGCCCCCTTGCCCGTTCCCCCACTTCGTGCTCGGTCCAGAGATTCTTAGGTCCATGGCGCTGATGGAAGCAGCCATATTACTTTCCTTGCAAAATGGGTCGCGCGATGATTGGCTTACAAAATTGAACGAGTGCGCAGCATCGGGAATGCTTCACCTTGTTATTTCCACCATGTGTATACACATGTACGGTGCGAGAAACGGGGAGAGGGAATTCACGGATCTGTCAAGTCGCGTCGGTGAGCGGGTCTTGTCGTAAGTCGTAAGATGACCTGAGCATTGAACGACGTATGTGCGACGAGCGAGCGGCACTAACTAACTACAGCACAACGATGCGCGAGTCGCGCACGCCGGTCGGGTTGCTACACGATGCTCGCGAGCTCGCGAGGTACGCGCGCATCTCCCACGGACGCGACGTACGCGGGGCGATCCGGTCGTTCGAGAGCTAGTGCGGCGAGAGGTACCTCGCGTTGCTGAACGGCCAGCTCGTCGTGCGTGAACTCCGGAACGTGGACGAGGAAGACTCGCGGTACCCGTCTGACGGTAGCCCACCCCGAGGGATGCGTTTCCACCAAGTACCTCGCAGCGGTTTCGCGTGTTTCGGAATGCCCGAAGCTTGTATTATCAATTGACGGCTGCACAAGTAACTTTGTCTCATGCTGTGAATCACATTATCATCGGCGGCTCTTCTTCCGTTACGATCGAGCGCTTGAAATTCTCTGATAATAATAATAACGCGGGAGAAGAAAATGGCTCTTCAGAGAGAGAGAGAAAGAGAGAGATGCCACTGAGAGATAACATTGGCGTTAATTAAAGCAGTACTTCTCTGTCAATTATTACTTGCAGCCTGAGATTTTCTCCGAGATTATCCTCGCATAAACATTACTCAGCATGGATAACATTTGGAAAAGCATAAGGTTCAAATATATCTTTGCTTGCATCTTGATTACCTTCGTCACGTCGTGTATAATCAGCATATCGCCCATCAGCATCGGTTAGTCACTGATATACGAAGAAGAGAAGCGTGGCGTGGTGTAAAGATGATTTCTCTAAATGTAATTTTGTTGCTTCAGACGAGTGCAAGTGTGAAGCTAATGCTCAGACGGGTCAGCACGCCAAGCAAACGAGCGACGAGACCAACGAGCGTAAGAAGAAGGCCGAGCATCGACTGGCTGTACTGGTGCCATTTAGGGATCGCTTTGAGGAGCTACTGATATTCGTACCGCACATGCAGAAATTTCTAGACAAGCAGGACATAGATTATCATATATTTGTATTAAATCAGGTACTGCCAGAGAGAGAGAGAGAGAGAGAGAGGCTTGCGAGTGAATGAAACGTTTGAATCTTATATGTGACATTTTTCTTCTCAGGTGGACAGGTACAGATTCAATCGAGCGTCCCTCATAAACGTGGGCTTCCTTGAAACGGAGAAGACGTTTGATTACATTGCGATGCACGATGTGGATCTGTTGCCTATGAACGATCAGTTGTCGTATGCATATCCAAGCGCGGGACCTCACCATATATCTTCGCCGGATTTACATCCCCGGTATCATTACTTCACCTTTATCGGCGGTATACTGCTCATTAAGAGGTACGCCTCGAATTGTGATGATAAACTAGGAAAAGATAACATCGATTTATACAGTTATATTGATTGCATGCATCTTCCCCGTAGGCAAGTTTTAGACTCTTGACAATATTGTAATAACCAGGGTTGGGGAAGTTACTTTATAAAAGTATCTAGTTGCAGTTACAGTTTTGTTGCTAAAAATTTTTGCTAAAAGTTAGTTTTTTTTTCGCTAACTAGTTACAGTTACAAGTTATCAATTCTGAAAAGTGATATATTACAGTTACTTAAGAAGTAACAAATTGTTACTTTGCAGTTACTTTCTTGCAATGAAAATAAAAATATCCAATCTGCATTTGAATTGTAAAGCGTCGTTCATGCGCAAATACAAGGCCTGATACAATCTGTGGAGGTTTAAAAAATATATATAGTAACTATTAATATAACTATATTAAATTACAACATCAGTGATTTTTATTGACTGTATCTAGCAATTTTAATAACACAAACTTTATTGCGAAAAATATTACCTCAGCCAGGGTTTGAACCTGGAGGTTGAGACGCCCGCCTAGAGTGTAGGGAAGTCCAGGTTCAAACCCTGGCTGAGGTAATATTTTCCGCAATAAATTTTCTGTATTATTAAAATTGCCAGATACAGTCGATAAAAATCACTGATGTTAATCACCGCTGGCGACTTTTAAGAATATTCTCATTAGTTACTAGTTATCGTGAAAATGTAACCGAGTTAAGTTACAATTGCAGATAGAGAAAAAGTAACGAAGTTAAGTCAGAGTTAGAAAAAAAGTAACTGTGACTGTAACTTCGGTACAAGTAATGAGTTACTTTCCAATCCCGGTAATAGTAATATTGTATGTCGATTATGTGTGTCTCAGAACTTATCAGTATTACAAAATGTAAGCTGGAAGCCATCCTAATCCACACAGCACAGAAAGATTGCAGGAAGATTGCAGAAATGTTACATTGCAAGATTGCAATATTGCATTCTGGAGGATTGCAGCAACGTTGAAATGTCCGCCCTCAGAGAGATTGCAGTGCAACATTATAGCAATGTTGCAGCGCAATATTTTTGGAATAATTTGTTGTTGCACATAAGCAGAGAATTTACTAATTACATATGCATCCGGGCCTTCTTCAATATACAGCAAGCTATTGCGAAGCAACCCAAGGAGATTATGTCGCTTCGCAATAGATGGAGATTTCGAGCAACACCGCAACACTGATCAAGTATTTAACAATTCGCGCATTATTGGTATCAACGAAAATAACATTATAAAATTCTCGTAATTAGAAACATTTTTTAAATAGAAAATATAGTATTTTTATTATTTTTGAAACATTGCTGCAATATTGCTTTCGAAAGTTTGCAATTCTATATCCCTGCAATGTCTCTGCAAGATTGCAACATTTCTGCAATGTAACTGCAACCATCTGTGCTGTATGGGAAGCCACAAGGCAAGGATTGAGACAAATAAATAAATAATACGTGTATTTTTGTAGGGAGCATTTCATACAGGTGAACGGAATGTCAAATAAATATTGGGGATGGGGTCTTGAAGATGACGAATTCTACGTTAGGTTGAAAGAGGCCGGCTTAAGCGTCAGTCGTCCGCAAAATATATCAACGGGAACGCATAATACATTTAAGTAAGCGTTACTTTATAAGATTTATCGATAGTGTAGAATGAAGCTGGATGGAAATCGTAACGCGCTTGACTATACCAATTTTTGTATGTATTACAGGCACATACACGATAGAAATCATAGAAAGAGAGATATGACCAAGTGTTATAATCAACGAGAGGTCACTAGGAAACGAGACCGGCAAACTGGATTGAACAATGTCTCGTATAAAATATTGGATACAATCAAGATGACTATATCAGATACTTCCCTAACGGTAATCAACATTTCCCTGCTGTGTGACAAATCCAGCACACCGTGGTGCGAATGTGACAAGCTAGTCGGATCGAAGGATCAAGGGCGGTCGAAAGAGAAAAAGAAGACTAATAATAGTAAACTCGCCACTGGATTGTAATTATAATCTTTAGTAATTTAATTGTTGAAGATATTACAAATGTACTCGAGAACGACCCTCGCATTCTTCCATTTTTTTTATGTACTCCACGTAGATAAATAAAGTAGTCCCCTACAGTTTGTTCACACGTTGCTCATATAGGAGATTCTATTTATAGTACAAATTATTTATACACACATTAAAAAAAAAATGCTTTACATGGTATCCTATTAAAGTTTTGTCAGAAAATCAAGATTACTCATTGTCAGAAAAATTGACGAGAATGTAAGTTGACAAGTTACTTAAATATAAACGTTTACGACTATTTCATGATAGATGATTATTTCTATAATTTGTTTCCGTCTTGTATATGTTAAATTGCACGTACATTTTACCCTTTTGTAAATGGCAATAGTTTATCCTTATATAATTTTCTTATAATTCCGTGTGCTTCTGCATGATTTTGGTTTCTAGATCTGCGTGAAGTTTTTGTACAGTCCTAACATGTTTCTTTATATGCTGCTCCGCGGTAGAATTTTCTAAATCGTGGAGTTGACCTTTCTGTGCCGCTTCCAGTGCTCCTTCCGTGTGTAGATGTCGCAGCTTAAGTAGCCTCGATTCGTAGTGTAAAAGTTCCTCCTACGCAATGTATGTCCATTTTAATTCGAGTACAATTAAGAGGGTATCCAGTTTAACAGTCTAACACAAAATGTCCCTCTAATAAAATTGTAGACTATCAAATTCCTTGATAAGAACCACAACCCGTATGGTCGTTGGAATCAAATTAATAAACCATCTGCCAGCCTAATGTCGTCTAACAATTCTTTTCTCCACTAACAATAAATTAGGAAAATTTTGCCGATAGCTTTTCTTACAAAAATAAGTTTATAAATAGTAAATTAACATCCTCGTAAATATGAGGAGAAAATGTACTAAATTGAAATTACTGTTATTATTATACCTTTAAAGACGATAGTTCTTCGGGAGAGAATTTTGCTTCCAATGCAATCTTCCATAATCCTTGTACCTTAGGTTCTATGAAGTCTTTGTGATTTGGTCCCTTTGCGGTGAGTCTGTCTAAACGATCGAATCCATTTCTCAGCTCCAAATGTTTCTCTCTGAAATCAGAACGGTGATAAAAGCCAATTCGTGTATCCCTATATACACATCTTTTACAACACGTGTGTACCGAAGTAAGTTCGCCTTTTCCATATGATTCAATTTCTGATCTGGTATATCGTTAGATAATTCCTCCCGTTCCTCTATCTCGTTCCAGCTTTCCGATTTAAGATGCAAGGTGTCTAGGGATATTAGATACAATATATAAATATGCAAGTAACATTTTTAAAGCTGTATATACCCATACAGCACAGACGGTTGCAGTTACATTGCAGTAACGTTGCAATCTTGCAGAGGCATTGCAGGGATATAAAATTGCAAACTTTCGATAGCAATGTTGCAGCAATGTTCCAAAAATAATAAAAATACTATATTTTCTATTTAAAAAATTTTTCTAATTACGAGAATTTTATTATGTTATTTTCGTTCATACCAATAATGCGCGAATTATTAAGTACTTGATCAGTGCGGTGTTGCTCGCAATCTCAATCTATTGCGAAGCGACATAATCTCCTTAGGTTGCTTCGCCAATAGCTTGCTATGTATTGAAAAAGGCCCGGATGTATATGTAATTAGTAAATTCTCTGCTTATGTACAACAACAAGAAATTATTCCAAAAATATTGCACTGCAACATTGCTATAATGTTGCACTGCAATCTCTCCGAGGGCGGGCATTTCAACGTTGCTGCAATATTCCAATCTTGCAATGTAACATTTCTGCAATTTTCCTGCAATTTTTCTGTGCTGTGTGGGTTTTATATGTGGATATAAAAGACCAACTTTCAGATTTCTCTGAATCTTTAGATTGCTCTTTCAATAAACTCATGTACTCGTCCACCTTTTCTTGATGATGATGAAACTCTTGTTTTAAAGTCTCAAGCTCTTCATCTAAAATAAAAAAAAGGTTACAAATTATACAGGGTTTGACACAAAGAGTACCCCTACGAAAAATGGTGGTAGATTAGGTCAGATTAAGAAGAAAAATCGTGTACCATTCTACAAAATTTACAATAGTTGTCAAATAAATTCGCTCAGACGTTTCAATAAATTATTCGGTAACTATTGCGAATTTTGTAAAGTGATACATGACTTTTCTTCTTAATCGGTATTTATATCCTTTGAAAATAGATACCAAGCTCTGTCTGTGTACTTCTATTAATGATGTGAATTACACATACTAGTAAAACCAGCCATTTCAGCTTTAGACCACAATTTGTTGAGCCTTATGTCCTTGAACACATCTTTGGCAACGTAATTGCTACCGTCGTTCAGCGCTTTGTGCATCTTAAGTAACTTTGGATCTTCAGTATCGACAAAGTGTTCCAGTAGGTCGTATGTGCTCATTATCCCTTCAACGAGATCAAATTACACGAGATTAGGAGATTAAGGCTGGTATTCATACAGTCAAGTCTTATACGTAAGATCGTCTTGAGTTTATCTCAAGACGCTGTATGAAACATTTCGTTGGTTATGAAGTATCTAAAGATGCCTGATGAAAAATCTCTCACGCATAAGCATGTACAAATACATAGAATTGTATAAAATTATATATAAAAAATATCCTTGTACATACATGTTTTTACATTCTGCATTTCTATATAATTCTATATATTTATGGATGTTTATGCACGAAAAATATTTTATCGGACAATCTTAAAATTAAAATAATGTTGCTGAATCGTTGCAATGTTGAATGTTGATGTATAAATATCTTTTCTACATTGAACCTAGGTTAATATTTATACATTAATTCTTTATATTGCTGCAACGTTAAAACAATCTTAGACAAATTATTACTTTTTGACACTCAAATAGAATACTTAAAAATGTATAATTATGAAATGTATGTATATATTTTGTTTGCAACGGTCAGAAATTTTCTGAGCTAACATTGGATTATTATTTTTTTTAGTGGAATAATTCAATTTCAGTACTTCCAACAGTTGTAAAAAATATTCTGCTAAACGCAACCAATGTTAACTCAATATATGATAATTTAACAATGTTTTCTGAATGTTGAATTGTAACGTTTACAAGACACTACAATTCAGCGGACATTAGACGTGTTTGCAATAACTTTTCAACGCTGAATCTACATTTCGTAACATTGATGCAATATCGCAATGTTGCAATGGAACGTTTCTGGGACGCTGATTCAACATTTGTGTGCTGTATGGGTGTGGTTTTGGTGTGTTTCTGATGAATCTGCTGCCGGTCTGTTAACATTTCGCCGACTGGGTAAGATCCGACCACCCCGAGACTCGGCGCGGCGAAAGAGATGCGAGCAACGCGGAAGTTACCGATGAGCTTCTGCCTCAGACGCGCCTCCTCCAGACCGTCGGGATCCTTTCCGTCGGACTTGTAATGCTTGTACGCGAGCTCCTCTTTGTCATGAATCTTCAGATCGCTGAAGATCGACTGCAGCTTGGTATCCGTCAGACGCTGAGGCAAATGTTTATGCACATTTCAAATTATAGAAATTGTACCAAAAAATGGTACATTTTTAGTTATGTCCCACGTGCGATCCCTTACTCACGTTTTTGGCCTTGACCCAGAGCACGTTCAACTTTGCCATCCGGAACGGCTTGTCCAAGTCTCTGAGGGAAGTCGGCAACTGCGAGGAATCGGCATATTTGGCCTTGTTCGCTTCGGCAGAATATTTGTTCTCGCCCGCGTCAGTGCGGGCCGACAGGAGGAGAAGACTCAGATTCACCAGCAGGATAAATTGTGCGCTCGAAGGTGTCATTTTTACTCAACCGCGTTCGCACGTGCCAGGAAATAAAAAATAAAAAAACTGACTCAACTGACGTGTGCGTGCACGCGTGTCACAACACACGCATGCGGCCCCACGTTAAATTGGCGCTGATGGCTGAGAACAATTGCCGCACCAGTTCAGAGAGTTTATTTCTCTTCCTCTGGTGTGGAGGGAAAAAGATAAACTCCGAACGAGTGCAGTCAGTTCAGCTGTAAAGAACAGACTCACTGTCACGTGACGTGATACTCGAGTTAAATAAGGTTAGGGTTAGGTTAGGCTATGGTTAGGTTTGTTTCTCCACGTTTAACGGATTTGAATGAAACAGCCCGGTACGTCAAACTGAGATTCCGGGATTTCCGGGAACCGTGTCGAGAGAGGAATCGGCGGAGTGTCCTTGCTGGAAACCTCAAGTGGCTTCGATAAAAAATGCCGCCGAGGAAATTAAAGGTATCGCGTTGGTACTTTCCTCGTTCGTTAAAGATCGTCTCGTTCGGTGAGCGATAAGATTAAAGCGCAATAGCTCAGATTGTAAAAGAACGTTTACTTTGACAAACAAAAATTGCCATTTAATAAATTGAACGATATTATCAAGAGACACGGCAGTGTCTCGCGCCAAGTACACCTGTACAGCACAGAAAGTTAAAATAATGTTGCTGAAACATCGCAATGTTGCATGTTGTATAAATATCTTTTCTACGTTGAATCTAGGTTAATGTTTGTACATTAATTCTTTGTATTGCTGCAACGTTAAAACAATCTTGAATAAATTATTATTTTTTGACACTCAAATAGATAAAAAATGTGTAATTATGAAATGTATATATATACATGTATATATAATATTTTTGCAAGGATCAGAAATCTTCTGAGCTAACAAGATTGGATTATTATTTTAGTGGAATAATTTAATTTCAGCACTTCCAACAGTTGTAAAAAATATTTTGCTAAACGCGACCAATGTCAACTCGATATAATCTAACAATGTTTTCTGAATGTTGAATTGTAACGTTTACAAAACATTACAATTCAGCGGACATTAGATGCTTTTGCAATATCTTTTCAACGTTGAATCTACATTTCGTAACATTGATGCAATATTGCAATGAACGTTCCTGAGATGTTGATTCAACATTTGTGTGCTGTATGGGATAAGCGTAGCGAAAACTGAGCGTGCAACCCACACAGCACAGAAAGATTGCAGGAAGATCGCAGAAATGTTACATTGCAAGATTGCAACATTGCTGCAGCGTTTCTGGAGGATTGCAGCAACGTTGAAATGTCCGCCCTCAGAGAGATTGCAGTGCAACATTATAGCAATGTTGCAGTGCAATATTTTTGGAATAATTTGTTGTACAAAAGCAGAGAATTTACTAATTACATGTACATCCGGGCCTTTTTCAATACATAGCAAGCTATTGCGAAGCAACCTAAGGAGATTATGTCGCTTCGCAATAGATGGAGATTGCGAGCAATACCGCACTGATCAAGTACTTCAAAATTCGTGCAGTATTGGTATGAACGAAAATAACATAATAAAATTCTCGTAATTAGAAAAATTTTTTAAATAGAAAATATAGTATCTTTATTATTTTTGAAACATTGCTGCAATATTGCTATCGAAAGTTTGCAATTTTATATCCCTGCAATGTCTCTGCAAGATTGCACTGCAATCTGCAAGATTGCAACGTTTCTGTGCTGTATGGGGAGACACATAATGTGTATCTTTACGCGAGTATGCGAGTTTAGAGACCCTTAGATTATCGGGTCTCAAAAATGATCGATCCGATCAACTTGGAAGTACACCCGATCGATAGCTCGGGTTCGATTTGCATAAAAAATTTTGTTTCATTTTTTATGAATGTCCACTGCGAGTGAAGGTATGACGATGCAAAGTGGGAAAGATCAAATTTTTATGTGAAACGTCGTTGTGTATTAACGCGGTGTAAAGTCGTCGTTGGAATTGCGAAGTGTTTGAATCCTTGTGTTTTGTACGCAGGAGAGTCTGACTTTTCTGGTGAACGTCGGAATTGTCCGTCATGGCACGCAGAGCAGCTCGCAGCTGTTGGATAAGGAGAAGTTTATTCTCAAGCATATCATTCAGAAGAAGGTGCGCTTCTCTTTGCCGCGCCATTGTCCCACACAGCACACTTTATCCAGGGGATATCCTAGAACCGGTACTCGGATAGTAAAACGTGTGCAAACAGAAATTTCGGAACGGCCGCCGAGCAAAATATTCCCTCGGAGAAGATTTTGTGAACGTGACCCTGAGTCTAAACGCACGTTCCTAAACTCGTTAAGAAAAATGGTGCAACCATTCTGTCCATCACTGTACAGCAGATGCACAAATGTCCACCTATTTAATATCCTACTGGTATCTTGACTTTGATTTTTTTTTAATGAAACAAGCGACCCCTAGGAGTCACTTTGACCACTGAATTTGAACGTACAATTTCCCGCCCTTTTTAAATTCGAGGTAAAAAAAGGCTTTCTATTTAAAAAGTCAAAGTTGACCTCCAAATGACCCTCGAGGTCAAGTTCAAGGTTAATTTCAAAGTTACCAAAAGATAGTGTTTCATGACCCCTACAGCTTTTATTCCGGTCATTTTCCGCGAAAGTGTGTACTTCTGACGATAATAAGGGTATCCCATTCTTTTCGAATACCCTGTGTACTAATCTATACACGATCTAACTTTATATATTATTTTATAACTATATTAGATATACATTAAACACAGATAATTTGTACTGTGATTGGATTCTACACTTTTTAGTCAGCGAAGAACTACAGGCAGGACGAAGAATCAATCGTATTAGAGATCACTGAATTGCTTTTTCTGAATGCAACTAGTGAAAAGTTCACGTGCGATAAAGCAACAATGAGATTAACTACTGAAATCGTTACAGTTACCGACAAAACGCAACTACGTCACCAATGTAACTACGTTGAACGTTACAAATGAGAAAATGTAACGTCGTTACCCATTCGTTACAAAAAAGTAATTGTAACGGTAACGACGTTACAAGTAACGCGTTACTTCCCAACCTTGATACATATATTGTAACACTCGATATCCTGTAAAACTCCTATATGAAAGAGGATATATCTTGCCATATCCTTTGCTCTTTTGCATAACATCTCGCGATGCCTCCTTGGAATAGCCTGAATGTTACCTACTCACAATCAGACATCTCTGGGTTTGTATTTAGAAGTTCGGAACAATTTTGGATATCCTCCCCGGCAGTAAATGGAAACCAATAACTATAATAGTTACGTAACATAAATGTTTTAATCGACGTAGGAAAATTGCTTATGGTCACCAGTAATGAATAAAAATTGTAACGGGAACTTGTAGTCAACCCAACTGGCTAGTTGCTTTATTTAATTAATACAACGTTTCGACCCTATAGTTTGGGTCCTTTTCAAGTATTACTAAGTTGGTCATCGTTGTCAGAAGAGACAGTGTCGAAATGTAAAATGCGGATACATGTGAGCACTGTGATTGTTGGGCTCGAACGCCCAACTTACAATTAGTAATATGTTCGAGCCCAACAATCACAGCGCTCACATGTATCCGCATTTTACATTTCGACACTGTCTCTTCTGACAACGATGACCAACTTAGTAATACTTGAAAAGGACCCAAACTATAGGTTCGAAACGTTCACTGAGAAAAATGTCCGATTAAATATAATCGGATAATCCAATTACATAATAACAAACGGATATATCCGATTAAATTGTATATCCGATGAGAAATGTGATCGGTTTTTCAATCAAAGTTCATCGGTACACTGAGAAAAATTTTCATCGGATAAACCAATTAAATAGTATGTCCGATGGTTAATTTTTCCGATTACTTTTTCCGATTAAATTATGGATATATCCGATGAAATTTATCCGATGAAATGCAATTACCGATGAAATTTGATTGAAAAACCGATCAAATTTTTCATCGGATATACAATTTAATCGGACATATCCGTTTGTTATCATGTAATTGGATTATCCGATTATATTTAATCGGACATTTTTCTCAGTGTAACTGCATTTCATCGGATAAATTTCATCGGATGTATCCATAATTTAATCGGAAAACGTAATCGGAAAAATTAACCATCGGAAACACTATTTAATTGGTTTATCCGATGAAAATTTTTCTCAGTGTTGTATTAATTAAATAAAGCAACTAGCCAGTTGGGTTGACTACAAGTTCCCGTTACAATAAATGTTATAATTTTCCACTAAACATTAAAATGTAACACATGTAATAACGGCTACATTGTTGAGTAGGAAATTAGAATATTAACTGTTGTGTAACCGTTAGTTGGTATTTACTGGCTCAAGATAAAATATGCTGTATGGGCAATGGCAGCTGTATCTGTGCTTTCGTTAATCATGAGAACGATACCGCGCAGATATTTCTACGTCCCAAGGATGAAGTAGGAGTGCTACTAATGGGCTCGGATAGCAGCAAAAGCGACAGTATCACAGGACTGGACAACGTGCAAGAGCTGTGTAATATGCAGGTCGGCAACTGGGACTTGATAAAGAGCATCGAAAAACTGCAAACCACAAACGAGACTTGCTCTTGGATGGAGGCAATTTACGCCGCGGTCGAATATATCAAGCATGAATGCGTGTAAGCGCATTCAAATGTAGCGCGATATCAATGTTCGGTCGGTATACGTTAAATTTACCGTGCCTTTCATTTCAGAGACCCATGTGAGAGGAAAATAATCCTATTTTCTACTTTCAACGAGGAGGAGAACACCGTTGACCAATTTCAAGCGGAGGATATTGCAGAGACATTAAGCTCAGAGGAAATTTCACTCATCGCAATGTATTGACTCTTTTAACATTGTTATTAATATCTGTGGTAACAGATGGAAATTAAAATATAAACTAGAATATAGACGAAAATTATTTGTTGCAGTGGAGAGAGAGCACTGGATAATATAGATGAGGATTCACAAACAGCCAGCGAAGTGTTGCTCAAGAAAGTCCTGCAACACGTAATTTAAGCAAAAATATATAGATATTAAATTATATAAAAATAATGTGTGATAATTGTCAACAGTAATTGTACGAATTGTAATATTTCACAGATTGACGGCCAGTATCTCACGTTTGAGCACGCTATGTCGGATGTGCGCTTCTACAAACGGCCGTCGACTAAGCCGCTTCCATGGTACTGCCCCATGGAATTGGGCAATTTCCGCATACCAATTGCTGCAATTTCCAAAGTGAATCTTTAAACTATTTACAACTAAACTGTCCTAACCCTTGACAATTTATTTATTTATTCTATTTTCATTTATTTATTTGCGCTGGAGAAGAACCGAAAAATGTTTCGAAACGTTCGCTCGTTTTCGCTATTATAGAATTGCTTAATTATTTGAAGTGAAATACGTATGTTGATTCGATCATTCGTTCTCCTTTGTTATTTTATCCTTTTATTACATGCGACTTAAATTATTTAAGCTATTATACACCGTTCTTTTATATCTGTCTCATCTTGTGTTATTTATATCGTAAGATGCCAACTGAGGTAAGATTACCGGATATGATGCTGATGGCCAAGACGAGTACATCTGACACATCTGATCAAGAAGTACCGATTCAAAATGTCGTACAATGGATGGACAACAATAGAACTATACACACGCAGGAGGACATTATCCGTGGTTATGTGTACGGTGGCAAGGCTATTCCTGTTTCGGGTAATTTGCGTTTAAAACTGTACAGTCAATTTTGTCTGCACAATGTCAAATGACTAACGTTCACGATGTACCGATTGTAGACGAAGCTAAGAAAGCCATGACTCCCAAAAATAATGAGAAATGTTACAAAATCCACGGTTTCACCGCGAGAGAAAATATTCCTATGGAATATTGGTTGTCGGACGGTTCCAATGTCATTGTACCCGCTAACGAGGTACGACAGCAGGGTTTCCCTGTTGTACAATAGCCATAAAAGTTCGACAACAAACGTAGCGATAGAAACTTGAACGAGAAATTTCTTACAGTCGGCAGGCGCGCCGTTTTACAGTCTGGTGCAAGCTATGGTTGACAAAAATGTCGTCGCGGTAGTGGAAAAGGTCTACAGGGCAAATACTGAAGCTAACATGATGGCGTTGTTTCCAAGTATCGATGTACCGAATGAACCATGGGTGAGAAGATTTTCTCCATTATTTCTCGCTCCGTTAATGCTAGTCGCATTGAAAATCTCCCTGTGACAGTGTCTTATCGAGATCGGCTTGCCGTTTGAGCGAGATTACGGAGCAATAGCGCAGAGACCGTTGAAATTCGTGATGAATCAACTGTCGAAGGAGCAGGACGAAGCCATGGACGATTTGTTAACGGCCTTGGAATTGCCCGACGCGTGAGTATACACACACGCAATGTATTAACATGAAATATAAAATGTATTCAAGAAATTATACGAAAGAAGCAAAGGTGTTTTTACAATATTAATTGTCTATTGAACTTTCAGCGCCGAGGATGATGTGGCAGGTGGCAGTGAGAAATATTTGCCAGGATACATGCCGGATCCTGGAACGCAACACATGTGGGATACATTAGCGGCTCGCGCGCTTAACCCGGACAAACCGTTGCCGCTTATTGCCGACGAGGTTGTGAATCTTCTAGAGCAACCCGAATTCGTGAAAGAGAAATGTAAACCAGTGACTGAAAGGATAAAGAATTTGTTCCTATTGGAGAAACAGAAGCCTCTTAAAACTAGAAAGTGAGCACATTCTTGAACGAGATTAAGGATTATATTTTGAATAGATTTAATGCTAAAACTATCGGTCTGTTTCTTCTTTTAGGCGTAAAATATCGCAAGAGGAGGATAATAAACAGTCCAATGCTAACAATGATGCGCTTATGACGCAGACTGTTAAAGAAGAAAAGAGACACGTTGTACAAGACAACAGCGATATATCAAAAGATAACCTTTCGGCCGATACGGATGATTGCAATTTTGATGAGCTTGTACGTATACAAACTCTATGTAAACGCATTATTGAATTTTGTATTTTATATACATGGTCTGTCCAGGCTTTGGTGTAATTGGTACAAAAAAATACAAGATAATTTTTCAATATGACATATTTTTCAATATGACTTTCGGAATCACCTCCAAAATCGTGGTTGAAGCTCTTTGAATGTCCTGAATGTTGTTGTAGTGTTTTCTTTTCGTTAACTTGAGTTTTGGGAATAACTAAAAGCCTTATGGAATGAAATCAGACAAATATGGAGAGTGTTCGAACACAGTGATGTCTTTTCTAGCCAAGAAATCACATACAAATCTTAGATTTGTGTACGTATCGTGCAGAAGTGATTAAGATCCTCGATTTTAATATTCAGACCAAACTGGAAGAATTTGTTTATCAAGAAATAGCTCTGAAAAAAATAAAAAATCACTAGAGACCTGGGATAAACTGTGATTTAAAAAAAATGCAATAGACTTCTGCAAAGGTATAAATATTCTCTAATTAAGTATAAATATTGTTACAGGCTGACATATAGGAAGCTGTTAGCAGTCACCGTTGTAGCGATTTTACAATGTAATTTATATATTTTTTAATTTACTCCTTCATTCTATCTCAACAATAATCAAATACGAAATCACTTTAATTTGGTTTGAAAACTATCCTTGAAAGCTATAAAAATAATATATTTTTTATATACATGCTGAATAAAATTAATTGTATTTCAGTAACAAGAATAAAAGGATATAATGTTAATATCATAGTGAGAAATGTATAGAATTTATTTATTTGGAGCAGCAATTTTTATTCTTTGGTGTATCTTTTCGTGTCAGAAGTGACGATGACACCATCGTCAACCGAATGAGGGGAAGACGAGGCCGTCCACCCACACCTCTAACGCCTACATTTCTTCTATCCCCGACTTACCAAAAATGTGTTGGCGCCTGAACATTGCAGCATTATGCTTGATAATTGATCAAAGATTTACTTTAGATAAAGATAATATAATATTCGGGAAAAGTGGAGTCTGCAAAAGTAGCTATCGAATTGGATTTCGATTAATTTTGACATGAGATCCGAAATTAGCGATCCTAAAAACTCGAATGTGTATTTTTAGATTTATTGATTCATTAGTATAAAAGTTCAAAGTGGGGGGACCTGAGTTATCCCATACGGTTTTTTCCGTAAGTATTTTTCACGTGGTCCTCCAAAGGTTAAACATGGTGATTTTAATCTCGAGGATCATAAATTAACGCTCGCGTAGGCCTTGCACAGTTGATGACGAGTCAAATTTCAAAATTGAAAATAATTCACGACACGGGACATCGCGGAGATACTCCGTGTATCTAGTTCAACCGTTACCGGTATTTAGAAAAGCTTGTGATTCGCTACTTGATATTTGGGTTTCTCACAATTAAATTTTACTTAAAGAACCACATGAAATTTGCGAACAATCGAATTACAGCTACATCGACAGGATGTGAAATACAACTTTTACCCAAAAGCTAGAAACGGATTTGGTGATTTTGGACTTGTGTATTAATAAACGTTGCACAATTGACATTTTATTCATGCAAAGTATCGGGCATACAATACAGCCCTGGCGAAAATAATACATTTATTAAAAGTTGATAAGATGTTTGTTTAAATGTTGAGTCAATGCTTCATTTGAGTTTTAAAACATTTATTGAATTGTTTGTGAGATATAAATTTAAACATGGAGTTGCTTATGACATGTTTACGGTTGCAAGTGTTCAAATTGCGTTTAATGATACAATGTCAAACGTTTCCATCATAGTTTTCTAAGTGTTTATAAAATGAAGTTACTCTAATTTAATTTTTGACTCTCATCTTATATCGCTCGTGTTGATATTGGCCCACTGTTTATGTTCATTTGTTCTCACAAAGAACAGCCTAACATACCAATTTAATGTTTATAAAATGTTATTGTCATTAAAGAATTAACCAGGTGTTTGCAACGATACAGCACACAAATGTTGAATCAACATCTCAGAAACGTTCCATTACAACATTGCAATATTGCATCAATGTTACGAAATGTAGATTCAACGTTGAAAAGATATTGCAAATACATCTAATGTCCGCTGAATTGTAATGTCTTGTAAACGTTACAATTCAACATTCAGAAAACATTGTTAGATTATATCGAGTTAACACTGGTCGCGTTTAGCAAAATATTTTTTACAACTGTTGGAAGTGCTAAAATTGAATTATTCCACTAAAATAATGATCCAATCTTAGCTCAGAAAATTTCTAACCGGTGCAAAAATATTTTATACATAATATATACATGTGTATATATATACATTTCATATTTTTATATTTTTAAGTATCTATTTGAGTGTCAAAAAATAATAATTTGTTCAAGATTGTTTTAACGTTGCAGCAATATAAAGAATTAATGTATAAACATTAACCCAGATTCAACGTAGAAAAGATATTTATACTTCAACATTCAACATTACAACGTTTCAGCAACATTATTTTAACTTTCTGTGTTGTATGGGGTACTTCCAAACGGTGTAACCATCAAAAACTCTCCAGAAACAATCCCACACAGCACAGAAAGATTGCAGGAAGATTACAGAAATGTTACATTGCAAGATTGCAATATTGCAGCAACATTGCGCAACATTGCTGCAACGTTTCTGGAGGATTGCAGCAACGTTGAAATGTCCGCCCTCAGAGAGATTGCAGTGCAACATTATAGCAATGTTGCAGTGCAATATTTTTGGAATAATTTCTTGTTGTACATAAGCAGAGAATTTACTAGGGTAAGCGAACCTATTTCGGAACACTTTTTAAAAAACTTGCTGTATCTTTTACATAAAATCTTCTAAAACAAATCTGATATATGCTAGTTAAGAAGTCATCCTTTAACTATTAATTAGGCATAAATCAATATTTGAAGAAGACTTTGTTTTTAAATGGCGGACAATCAATTCAAGTACTAAATTTGTTCCGAATTAGGTTCACCTGCACCTAATTCGGAACAGCTGTTTTCATATGTATGTACAGCCGCATTTTGCAACAACATAGTTTCATAATTCAATTAAGCAACGATTATCTTCCTTGAACCTTTAACTGTTGTTTAAGTCCAAAATATAAGGGAACGAGCAAATAATATAAGAGAAATATGAAATTATTGTACTTACCGTACTTACCGTAACGATCCCGCTCAGAAGCGCCCTGTCATGACAACCAATAACAAAAATATACTATTGTCAATTATTTTCTGTATGTACTAGCTGCTCATTTCTTCACATCACAAACTTTATTTACGATGCTCTTTATCACCAGCATTAAAATTTGACATTACGTGATAGCTAACAGGAGCAAAATTAAAGTGTTCCGAAATAGGTGCTGTTCCGAAATAGGTTCGCTTACCCTAATTACATATGCATCCGGGCCTTCTTCAATACACAGCAAGCTATTGCGAAGCAACCTAAGGAGATTATGTCGCTTCGCAATAGATGGAGATTACGAGCAACACCGCACTGATCAAGTAATAATTCGCGCATTATTGGTATCAACGAAAATAACATAATAAAATTCTCGTAATTAGAAACATTTTTTAAATAGAAAATATAGTATTTTTATTATTTTTGAAACATTGCTGCAACATTGCTATCGAAAGTTTGCAATTTTATATCCCTGCAATGCCTCTGCAAGATTGCAACGTTTCTGCAATGCAACTGCAACCATCTGTGCTGTATGGGATGCAACTATCGATCAAACTCTTCATATTATAAAAAAATATAAACATAATCTCCCACTTAAAATTTGCGCCAGGGAGATATTGACTTCTACAATGTATTCTCTCTTGAAGATCCACGCAGCTCCGCAATCATCCCGTCGGTTTGATTCGCGAGGATGACGCGTGGCGATTCATCCTGCATCTATAAAAGGAAAGAGGTCTGGCGCGGCGCGAGAGGCCGATCGCCTGTAAAACGTGGGTCTCGCATTTGAAGCGTCCTGTACGCTCAGCGGCGAATCGAGACACCTCAGCCTTGAACGCAACGCGATTTTGCGACGAAACTGCCCATTCGCGCAGCTTCATGGTCCATTATTGAAATACTTAATCGTCGGGATTATTTTATTTAAAGGTGCTGCTAACGCCGGAAACTCCACCGATACCAGCAGATTAGGTGGCTCATCCGATTACTACCGTACAAAAAATGTACGTAGTAACAGTAATAGTCAAATTTCATTGTGACATTCTAAATGAAGTCAACTGTCGCGACACGTCGAATGTATTCGCAAAGAGTACCGAGATCACGGTATCTCGTTAATCAAGAGAGACGGTAGCGCCTCGAGCTTCAAGTATATTCCTCTCGCGAGTCCGCGGCGCGAAGCAGTGACGACGGTGACCACCGTCACTGCTGCCTAACGGACGGTTCTCTCCGGCGGGGAGGACGCGGCGGTTCAGTCGACGAGGAGACGCCGTGTTGCGAAGATCAACCAGGTGCGAGTGAACGCCCGTTGCCCGAGAAGCATGGGTAAGTCTACGGTGATCCGATCTGGCTCTGCCTGGACACGTCGTTCAGGTCGGTCGAGCGCGTCTGATGTTAAATTGCGATCCGCGGAGCCTACGAGGCTGTGACCCGCCGAGGCGTCACGCGACACGCTGGAATCTCGCAGCTCGTTCGCAGATCCGAGATCCTGGAGCTCGCCTCGAACGCGCGCGACGCGCTCTCGGTGTTAAGCGAGTTTCCGTCGCAACCAGGAGACTTTAACGGATCAAACGATAAGAACGGTGTTTTTTAAAAGCGCGGGAGGAAGATCCAGATCCCTCGGGCGCTCGTTAAATATCTTCTGTGTGGGTTTTTTTTGGCCTTTTCGATACTTTAAATTCTCAAAGAAAATTACGTCGTTCTTAGTTTTAATGATTTATTGTAATTCTGGATTTCTGGACGTTCAAGGCACGCGTAATGATGTTTGGACGAAAATTATTTGATTCCTTAAACTTTTTTGAATATTTCTGGGTGTCTTCTGAGCTTTGATGATGACCGTTTGATCGGTACAAATGTTCAAAAGAAGCGTATCGTATAATTCAATAATTTCCCCGACTTATTGTCCTTCTGAATCTTAAAAGCGTTAAAATCGAAAACGAGCGAAAAAATGGCGTGTCTTTATAAGCGTCTTGTGGTCTTTTGACATTATTCTGACGTTATTATAACATTCGACATTTAATGTCGCAATGTTAAGGATGTATCGGACCTATCTTCAAAATAGTACAAAGTCGCCAAAAATTTGTGAAATTGTTCTTTTAGTCTTTCTAATTTATTGCAGAGAAGTAAAAATGCATCCACTAAACGGTTGCTGAGATATAACTATTTTAATTTACACTGATTTTACACGTACTCTTATGGGAAAAGCCGATCTTCACGGATAAAACAGCTAAAAAAATGTAGAAGAAATAGTACCAGTGTTTTGAATTTTTTTATACATCTAGTATACGAACAGATGAAAATATCTACCAAGTTTCAATAATCTTTACTGCACCGTTTTGAAGAAATAAAATATAATAAAATATAACTTGAGATATTCGTGCTGTCGGCACGAATTTTTTAGTTTTGAAAATATTTGACGTTATTAAGAATTGAAATCAGAGTATTTTCACTATCAAAAGTTTAGGCTCATAAGTGAAAAAAATCGCAAATAATTCAGGAAAAAACATTTGTAAAGTGAAAAATACCTTTGTAGGAATACAAATAAGACTCCAACTATCGTTCAAGTTTCTTACATCT